TCTGTTTCTTTTAAATAATTTAAATCCCTCTAGCTGTGTGTTCCATTTGTGGGTTTCATCCCACCATGTTTCTGTAATGGCAACAATATCATATCTGCCCTCATTGACCTGAATTTCTAGTTCACCCTGTTTGCTGTTCATACTCTGTGCATTGGTGTATAGACATTTGAGTCCTTTATGACCGACCCTGTGTTTACTTGTTTGGTTTCTCTTCAGCTCATTAACTAATTTTCATTTCTCCACAGAGGTAATCTGAGCTGCAGGGAGAACCCACCCTTCTCCCTCTAGGTTATTTCACCTACCTTGCCAAACTTCTATCACAAACCCCACATGGCTTATGCCAGAGGCACTTTAGACCTCAACTACTCATTTCAGAGAATACTAAATAGCCCCAAATAAGACAAGGGGCTCTTCTGGCTCCTCGGGGCTTTACCAGTTCACAGATGCCTCTCTCCTATCCGCATACCTTCTCCTGGATCGCTTTCCTCCCCTCAAGCAAGATGAGCAAATGCAGCCCAAATAGCACAGCAAAGCCTGGGAATGCTGGCTTGCCTTTGACTCGGTTTAAGTAACTTCCTTCCTCCCTCATCTGGCTTGTCTTAACATTGCCATTCCCTATTGATACATTATACTTTGTGAATCAACAATTGTATAAAAAGCAAAACAGACAAGGTTATGTTACATAATCAACATTTTGCTCTTTTCTCACCCCTGGCTGCTGGATTTATACTCAGGAAGAAGTTTAAGGGTTCCCCCTCACTCTTGTCCTGGACCTTGAAGTGAAACTTGGGTGCATGTTTATTCCTATCACACAACACAGAGTAAGAAAGCCCACCGTTGCTTCCAGGTCTTCCGTCTTGTTGCGCAGATGGTCAAGGTTCTCACCCCTTGCTAGAATCCGCTCCACATTCTGTGTCATGATGTTCTTGACACCCTCAACTTCATTCTGGAGATTCTTCACCTGGTCATTGGCCATCCCTGGGCCACTTCCATTGCCTCCCTCCTGGTGAGAAAAAGAACAAGATTTTGGCAGGCAGAAGGAAGGGAAAGATCCTACCTACTCCTTTCCTTTCTCCTTCCCATGCTATCTCTACATTGGAATGCCATAACCGAGATGGTCTTTTATCAAAGTTTCAGGCAAAGAGGGAAAGGTACCATTGTCCAACAACAATAACAAAATCTTCCAATGACTAGGTGTCAGAACCCTCAATGATTAATCATGCATATTCTCTGGGCTTAGGTTATTCGGGTTCTGCCATTCTATGGGGGAGGGTGGTAGCTGGGGGCTTGTAGTGCCTCTATCTGCTTTGATGTATCCTCTATGGGGTGTGAAAGGAATGCCTGGGGCCATCAGCGAGCAGGGAAGAACTTGAGAAGACCTAACAACCTTGAGAGAGGCACCTTATCAGTTGCTTTCCCACAGCTCAATGTCACCTGTGGATTGGCCTGTTTGAACCCCGGATGGACAGTTGGGGTGGGGTTATTGTTTTGCGGGTTTAACTTATTGATTTGGGCGGGAAGCCCTCAGATCCTGCCTACTTTCCTGCTTTCTGTACCTGCCAATAAAAGTTCCTTTTGAAATGATGCCAGTTTCAAGAGTTCTGCTTTCTTGTTAGAGAAATGGAGGCAGGTCCTTACACTAGGTGCAGTTTCCAAAGACTTCTAAAAATTGCTGACACACAAAGTAGTCAAGAATTCTAAAATGCAAACCTATACTTTCCTTCTACAGTACAGTATGAGCTGTTTTAAGAAGCAGTCAACAAGTACAAGGTCACTGTCCACACTAGATCCAATATACCTTTGCCTGCTTTGAATACTGATCAGAAAGCACTTGCTAAACATCTTTTCCACAACAAAAATAATGACAAATGGTGTACTATTTGAGTCTCTTGATCTTAATGACTTGCTTGCTGCCTCTTTGAAATAATGCCAGAATCTCCCCTTTTATTTGGTTTAATAAGCCAGACCGATACAAATAGAGAGCCCAAAGCACTGAACTCCTCGGCCACATCCTCAGGCATTCATGACCAAAACTCAGCCAGCACCGCTGGACCAAAGAACCATAAAAGGTAAGGATTGGAAGAGGGCTTGAAAGTCCCTTGTTCAGTGCAAGCATCTTCTACTACAGCATCCCTGACACAGCATCCCATCTCTATTTGAATACCTCCAGCAAAGGAGAGTCCATCCCATCTCAAGGCAGATTATTCTATTTGAATGCTCTCATCATTAGGATTTTCTCCTGATGCCCAACAACATTTACTTTATAAATTAAAGTCAATGTTTCTCATCCTGTCTCTTACAACAGTTCTGAACTACCTTCTACAGGATGCTTCTTTAGATATTTGAGACCCTGATCATTTTACTTGCCTTTCCAGGGGGCTGGACTAGAAGACCTCCAAGGTCTCTTTCTATTCTATTCTATTCTATTCTATTCTATTCTATTCTATTCTATTCTATTCTATTCTATTCCTTACCTCCTTTTCTAAAGGTGGCATTACAATATTAGCACATTTATTTTCATTTTCATTCCAGTTCCTAATCGTCCCTAGCATGGAATCTACCTTTCTCAGAGCTGTGCAGTTTTTTTATTGCAATATGCACCACTCTATCTTTACTTAAATGGTATATGCCACTTGGCTGACCATTCACCAGTTTAATGAGGTCCCACTGGTGCTCCTCATGATCACTTCTGCTTCTCATTCACCAGTCTGAAGTATCTTTAACAAAAATGCAGTATTTAATAACCCAAATTATTTTATGTATACTGTTTTGCCATTACAGCATCAATTTCCATTACACCCTTCAAAGCAACATGTATGAAAACAGAAAGATTAATGCTTCAAGCAAGTTGCAAACTAAATTTGGGGCCAGTAGGGAACAAAAGACATTTTATTACCCAGGTATTCAATGCTGCAGTAATATTCACTGTTCACATTGTACCAAGTATAAGAGATATTTAATAAAGCACAACAATAATTTGTATTATCAGACATCATTCTATTGAGAATTATGGACATTGTCAAAGAGGCAGAAAAATACTCAGTGGAAAAGCTGAATAAATATTACAATTCCTAAACATATTGCAATGATACAGCTTCTGAACCTGTCCAAAATTTCCACACAGATGTTTTCACGCTAATTCTCAAAATCAGGTCCTTAAAACAAGATTAAAAAAAACTGAAATCAACTGTCAAGCTTGCTCTTTCCTTTGTCCCCATTTCTAATAGATACACTAGACTTATTTCCTGTATTACAACTGGAGGCAGTTCTTATTCTACTGCCACAAACGGCTTTCTTTATGCAACAATTCTCATCTATTTTCATAAAATCTTTCATGTTCAGCCTCCTGTCCAGAAAGAGACCAGAGCAGAACAATATCTCATGCAGAGACCCATAGTTTCCTAAAATCAAGTAGCCAGAGAAGGCGGGGTAGGGAAGGGGCCCCACCCTGGATACTCTCTGGTGTGGCTGCTGCTGCAATAGATGGTCACGCCCCAGCACTGCACAGACCAGGCCCCAATCTGGCTCTCCTGTCTTTGCCTTAGTTCCTTTCAGGTCCCCAAACTTTTGCTAAGCGAGGGGTGAAGCCAGGGGGGCAGAGGGATTCTAGGAGGGTCTCATTCCAAAGGGAAGGCACTGCCACAGATAAGGGGGGCTTCCTGGGTCACAATAGATGACAGTGTTAAACTGAAGAGGCTCAGCATGTACCTGACAACTAGAAACAATAACATTTTGTGTTTCTTTTTAATATAATAATAATAATAATAATAATAATAATAATAATAATAATAATAATAATAATAATAATAATAATAATAATAATAAAGTTGGAAGGGACCTTGAAGATCATTGAGTCCAACCCCCTGCTCAGGCAGGAAACCAGGGGTGTCAAACTCAATTTCACTGAGGGCTGCATTAGCATTGCGGTTGCCCTCAGGGGGCTGGGTGGCTGTGGCCAAGGTGGGTGTGGCCTACTGGGTGGGCGTGGACAGCTCTACATCGTTCGCGTCAAGGGTGCCTGTGGGGCCCTGGGCAGGAGTGGGACAGATGTGAGGGTCTCTGGCAGAAGGGGGTGGGACCGGGGCAAGTGCCAAGGCATGGTCCACTGGAGGAGCATCACTGTTCCTCTCAGGCCATGCGGAGGGGGGGGGCTTATGGAGCTAAGACTGAATGCGTTTCAGCATAGATGGCCACCACAAAATTGTACATTGGCTCCTGGCCGGCCTGGGCCAGGGCCAAGGCAGCGGGGGCCGTTCCCTCACTGTTTCCAGGATGGCTTCGCGGGCCACATGAAACCACTTCGCGGGCCGCATCCGGCCCCTGGGCCTTGTGTTTGACATGTCCGCCCTACACCATTTCGGACAAATGGCTGTCCAGTCTCTTCTTAAAAACTTCCAGTGTTGGAGCATTCACCACTTCTGGTGGCAGGTTGTTCCACTGGTTAATTGTTCTAACTGTCAGGAAGTTTCTCCTTAGTTCTAGGTTGCTTCTCTCCTTGATCAGTTTCCACCTGTTGCTTCTTGTCCTGCCTTCAGGCGCCTTGGAGAATAGCTTGACTCCCTCTTCTTTGTGGCAGCCCCTGAGATATTGGAACACTGCTATCATGTCCCCTCTCGTCCTTCTCTTCGTTAAACTAGACATACCCAATTCCGGCAACCGTTCCTTATATGTTTTAGCCTCCAGTCCCCTAATCATCTTTTTTTTTATTAGAATTTTACTTAAAATAGCAAAATACAACACAAAGTAAACTTAAAGAAAAAAAGAGTAGAAAAAGAGAAAAGTAAGAATATAATAAAGAGAGAAGAAATAAACAAAGAAGTGACTTCCAACCTTCACTATAACAAGTATAAACACACTTATCTCTTCATTTCCATATCCCATTTCTTATCTATAAACAAATTCATAAAACATCATCTTTTCAGTCCTGGTATCAGCAGAAATCCATAAAGTATAGTCAGAAGTAACACATCTTGTTTTAGGCTTGATCAGATAAACCAATTTTATATTCCTTTCTTTTACCTCTAACAATCTTAATCTTTAGTTCATTCAAATATTGTTGCAGGATTTGATTTATCTCCATTTCTTCTATATCCCATCACATAAAAGTTCTTCAAGGTTCTTGAATTTTCCTTTTATAATTTAAAACCCCAGGCAATTTCTTTTGCAGATTCAGTGAATCATTGGATTTCTTTTCTAAGTCATTCCCTTGGCCTATCAATTGTAAACCCACTTTTGATATTTGTTAGCTAAAATTTGTTCTATATCTGGCATTTCTTCAATAATATTTTTGGACATAGCCGCCCTAGCCATAGAAGCAGACATCGTTATTGATATTGTGGCTACTGTTTTCTGATTCCATTCTTCAAAACTTTCCTTCTGTATTTTCACTGTTAAAACATTTTGCATTTTTATAGGCTTGTAAATCTTTCCTCTGTCTAAAAACTTTAGTCCCCTCTGATGTCCAGTTTTTGAAATTATGAAATTGCTTATTTTTATTATTATTTATTATTTTCATGCAAAGATGGGCATGATAAAGGACCAAAATGGCAGGGACCTAACAGAGGCAGAAGAGATTAAGAAAAGGTGGCAAAACTACACAGAAGAACTATACAAGAACGAGCTTAACGTCCCAGATAACCACGATGGGGTGGTCACTGACCTCGAGCCAGACATCCTAGAATGTGAAGTGAAATGGGCCTTAGGAAATCTGAGCAACAACAAAGCTAGTGGAGGTGACAGTATTCCAGATGAGCTATTCAAAATCTTAAAAGACGATGCAGTAAAAGTGCTACTCTCAATTTGCCAGCAAATTTGGAAAACTCAACAGTGGCCACAGGATTGGAAAAGGTCAGTTTACATTCCAATTCCAAAGAAAGGCAATTCCAAAGAATGTTCAAACTATCGCACCATTGCACTTATTTCACATGCTAGTAAAGTTATGCTTAAAATCCTACAAGCTAGACTCCAGCAGTATGCGAAGTTGTTTTTTCTTTATAATTAATTTTAAAATAGTTTTATAAAGGTTTCAATATTCTAACTTTATCTGGATTTTTAGTCTGTTTAAAGCTTTCTAGGATCAACATTTTATTTAGCTTTTTGATGTTTATTTCAGATTCTTTAAATGTTTAAGCTTATTATTAAACTTTTCTTTCATTCAGGAATGAAGGCAGACTCACTCAGGATTTTCAAACCTGTCTTTCTGAAGTTCTCTAATAGCTTAGAAATAGTTAATGAGCGATTTCTGAAAGTGATTAGAAAGTGAGATTTGCAAACCGAGTGTTCTTTAACACAGGGGTCCCCAACTTTGCAGCTTGGTGACCCTGTTGGGGGGAGAGGGGAACTGGAAATCAATTGAAGGATCTAATTTGGGGTTCAGCTTTTAAAATTGTATTGTAACTCTTGACGGTCATCAAGTTTATATGGGGTTAAATGGCATATTCTGGAACATCCATTGGAAATATGAAGATCTAGTTAAGACAGTGAGCGCTGCTTCTATTTTCCTTAACCAGATCATGCAAGATACTCAATAAATTCTGCATCCAGACTTCTAACCTAGAGAGTTAATTTCAAATTCCTGTTTTGAACGTATCCCAGAATGGTAAGGGGGGAGAGGTTCTGAAGCCCATCTTGAAACTGAGGTGGTTATTATATGTGGTATCTCCAGGGCTTTTTTTCTCATAGAACGCCCAGAACGGAGTTCCGGCACCTTTTTTGGATGGAACCTTGTAGGGTAGGCAAGGCGGGTTGTATGACGTGTGTGAGTTCCGGGACCTTTTTTTTTTTTTTTAAAGAAAAAAAGCACTGGGTATCTCTGATAGCTGTTCAGAACCAGTCATGCCATGTTTAAGGTCAGAACATGGAAAACAAAGAGGTTTTCTCCAGGCTGCAGCTGCAATGACACCAGTCTTCTGGTATGAAAAGTACGCCAGGCTTCTCCCAGGACCAGCAGAATAACTCCCTGCAGCCACCAGCAGGACAAGCAATACAGGCAGAACCAGAACAAGGTGTCCGCATCATCACAATGGGGCTGCAATGGAGCCCCTTACTGAATGGAACGGACATAAGCTAAACAGGTGAGGAGAGAAAAATCCTCTGGAAGATAAAGCAGTTCTGCATTTCTCCAAAATTTAATGGAATGACTGCTTCTATATAAAACAGGTCCTGGGATCAATTCCACTAGATCAGGGGTAGGCAACCTCGGCTCTTTTACGACTCGTGGACTTCAACTCCCAGAATAGCTGACTCAGGAATTCTGGGCGTTGAAGTTCACGCGTCATAAAAGAGCCGAGGTCGCCTATCCCTGCACTAGATAAACCAGACCGAGAGGTCGTAGAATCATAGGGCTGGGAGAGACCTGGAGGTCCTTTGGTCCAACTTGTGAATTAGGGTGCTCAAGGCAGGGGTCTTATACCACCCCAGTCAAAGGGTGGTTCAGTCTGTTTTTGAAAAGCTCCAGTGATGAAGCCAGGAGGCGCGAGCAGAGCGCGAAGACGGAGCTTCTTCCGGAAGCCGTTCTGAAGCGAAGCACTCAGCCCTCCGATGCCTCCACCTGGGCCTCCACCTGGGCCGCCCCGCCCTTCTCGTCCCTGCCCCTGGCCGGCTCGAGGCGGCCTTCCGGGCGTCCCGGAGCCCCAGGCTGGAAAGGCGCCCGGCTTCCGCGCCCCCGGTCAGAGGGCAGCGACACCCCAAGCCGGCGGCGGCCGCCCCGCCCGGGTCGCGTCGGGCCCAATGGTGGCGCCCCCCCCCGTCCCGGAGGCAGGTGCGATCGCCGGCAGCCCGCCCGGGCAGCGCCCTTCCCCCCCTCCGAGAACGGGGCTTACCATAGCCGTGGCGTCCCGTTCAAGCCTCGAGAGTCGAGGCCACTTCCCGATACTCGGCGGTCCCCCCCGGACGTCCTACTTCCTCCTCCGGCCGCGCCGTCACTCCTCGCAGGTAGCCTTGGGCGGATCCAACTGCGGTTCCGCCCTCCCCGGGCGAGAGACGGCCCGTCTGCCCGGGTCCCGTGGACCGAGACGAGTCCGGGCGGCAAATGGGCCGAGCAGAAGCGGACGGGAGCGGCTGCCCTCCTCCGCCCCAAACGCCTCCCTTCACGGGCTGGACTAGAAGACCTCCAAGGTCCCTTCCTTCTATTCTATTCTTATCTGACTCCCGGAAGGTTCCCGCGGGATCCAAGCCGCCTGGAGAGCGAGGGGGGAGGAAAGGTGGAGCAGGCAAAGTCTCTGTGCCACAGTGCTGAGGCCCTCGCCTCAGGACAATTGCAGATTTTTAAAAATTAATTTAATGTTTAATGCTGTAGTTCATCCTGATCTGACTTGGCCAGGAGTGCTAGCTGAGTGCGAGCAGTGGGGTACCTGAAGGTTCTGCCTAAGGCAGATGGCTCAAATAGCTTGCATAAGTGACTGGAAAAGCTTGCCTGGTTTACGTATGGCTATCACACCAGCCTTCCTCCATGTGTTGGATATCTGGATAGTGTTTAAGCATCTGTTATAGAGGTTGGATTCTTTTGTTTTAGGTCCAAAATGTGTAACCTGCCAGAGCTGAATCTTGTCAATGGCAGCTGCTTTGCCATTCTTACACCTGCCTATTGGCTCCTATTGTAAAGGGACATGTCAAATTGCTCTTCTTCCATTTCTTGTTCCTGACTATCCTGTTTATGTTTTTGTAGGCTGGAATAGTAGCTGGTGGGCAATTTGGCTAGCTGAGATTTTGGCATATAATGATAATTTGGTTGTATCATTGTTGAGATGGTTAAGTAAACTCCATTCTTTTTGGCTGCTACAACTCATATCCATCTCCTCCATAAGCTTAATCCATCATTCCCTTTTGTGCTCTGAAATGGCTGGGTATTCAGTTCTTCTGCCAGAAATGATGGTGAGATCACCATTTTTGACCTTGGAAACAAAACAATTCCAACATGGTTAAAGGGAGCCCTATTAACATACATTGTGTCTTTCATGACTGGAGTAGCTGGTCTTGAGGGTCCCAAAGCTTGAGATTTGCCTATTCCACAGCTATGTCTGAGCCATGAGTGGCCCAATACTGCTTAACTTTGGCAGAAACATGCCCTGGTGACCTTTTTTTGGCTTTTATCTCATGGTCAATCCATATGCCAGGCAGCATTTTTGTTTTCCAGGAGTGCTGGGGAATAAGCCACCCAGGGGAACTACACAATACATCAAGGGGACCCGAGAGCTCAGATCAGCTGGTGTGGGTGCGCCCTTTATGCAGCATGATGCCCGAATTGGTCCTAGATTCTGCCTTGGCTCCCTCTTACCAATAAGCAACTGAATTGAAGATCATTTCTTTGATTTTTGTTATACTCTAGGAAAAAATATTCCAAGTATCCTCTGTATATGAAAAGAGGGAACCTAGAACAAAGTCTCAGATTTCCTTTTATATTCAGTACAGCAGAAAAAAGTACAAAAGAATAGTTGATTGGGTGGAAGAAATCATATATTTGGAAAACAACTGGCTCATCTTATGAAAAGGGCTTTAAACCAAAATTGAGGGGGCCAATTTTCACGACCTTTAGAACCTGATTCCAAACAAAAACCACTAGATAACCAATCAACTAAGGAGGTAGGGAGTAAAAGAGAAAAAAGAAAAAAAAGAAAGAAAAACATAATGAAGTAGAGAGTGATGGATAAGAGGAAACAAACAGGGTGAACTTGAAGTATTAGTACATGCAGGCAGATATGATGTAGTTTCCATTACTGAAACTTGGTGGGATGAAACTCATGACTGGAATGTAATGATGGAAGGGTACAAACTATTCAAAAGACACAGACCTAACAAAAGAGGAGGTGGAGTTGCATTATATGTAAAAGATGACTACAACTCTACAGAAATACACAAAACCAAGGATGAAAACCTCCTAGAATCCATATGGGTCAATATAAAAAGAATGACATTGCTATAGGCATATACTAAGGCCACCCAACCAAGCAGAAGAAATAGATGCACTCTTTGCTAACCAAAGAGTTAGCTAACCAAAGCAGCAGCCAAAAAAGCTAATACAATCCTGGGTTGTATAAACAGAGGCATATAGATTCAAGATCACACAAAGTATTAGTACCGCTTTATAGAACCTAGTAAGACTACACCTGGAATACTGCAGCCAATTTTGGTCACCCTATTACAAAAAAGATGTTGAGAGTTTGGAAAAAATTCAGAGACGAGCAACTGACGATTAAAGGCCTGGAGACTAAACATATGAAGAACGGCTGCAGGACTTGGGTTTGGCTAGTCTAAAGAAAAGAAGAAATAGGGGAGACGTGATAACAGTATTCCAGTATTTGAGGGGCTGCCATCAAGAAGAGGGGGTCATGTTATTCACCAAAGCACCAGAGGGCAAGACAAAAGTCAAGGCTAAAAAAAAGTTTCTTTCAACATATAAATAACAGGAAAAAAGTCAAGGAAACAGTCCACTAAAGGGAGAAGTCTGTTTTGACTAGCGAAACACCTGCAACCCGCTCCTCCCTCCGTGCCGAGTGTGTCAACTAAAAATGAGAAAGGAAAATGGCCCCAGCCATGCTCATTCCCAGTGACACGAATAATCCTTTGCTATCCATCCCGAGAAAGTCCTTTATCTTGCAGTTAAAAAGTTGCAGAGATCCGGTTGCTCCGGCAGACTCTCCCTGGGCCGCTCTCAGCCCTTCAAGGGCCCGGAGAGCGCCGCGTTCACCGCCTGGCCGGGCTCGGAGCGGGGCCTCCCCCTCCCCGGAGCTGAATCCGGAGCGCCTTCTCGACCGGGGCCTCCCGGGCGCAGAAGGGCCCGCCCTCGGCCGAAGTCCACGGCCCGTTGGCTGAGCCTCCGGCCGGAAGTGCGCGCTGGGCGGCGGCCTCGCTGGAGCCGCTCCTCCCCGAGCTCCGCTGGGAACCGAGGACGCGCCGCCGCCGCCGCCGCCGCCGCCGGGATGAAGCCGAGCCGCGTTGCTGCGCTCGCCGCAGGTGGAGGGGGACCCGGGGGACGCCTGGCCCGCCAACACGCGGGCGGCCCGTGGGCGCCGGGAGGGCTGCCGGGCGCGGGCGCGGCGAGGGGCTGTTCGCGGCCCCCCTTTCGCGTCGCCGCCGCGTCATTCGGGGGCCGCGCAAGTCCCCACATTCCCCGGGGCGGCCGGCGACGCTTCGTGTAATTTGCTTGAGCAGCCGCATCGCGCGGACCAGGCAACCGCGGCTGGTTAGTCCGGGCTCCACACCCTGCCCGGGCTCCTCCGGGTCCGCCTTGGTTTGGGCTCCCGAACGGGGCTGCTCTCCTTTGCCCGGGAAACCCTCCGCGCCCCGGGATGCAGTTGGTAGCGCGGAGGCCCCCAACCCCCCGCCGGCTGGTAGGGGACCATCCCCTCTCCGCCCTCCGGTCCGCACAGCCGGAGAGGTTGGGCACCCCCGCCGTGGAGGCCCGGGGCCCAGGGCGGTTCTTCCCCTGCCCCGGGACTCATGTGCCCTCTTTTTCCTCTGGTTCTGCAGAAGCCGAGACGCCGGCGCCGCCTCCCGTGCCCCCGCAGAGGCCGAGGAAGGCCCAGGGAGCCCAGGCCCCGGTCCCGGCTCCCCCCAGCTGGGCTAGGCGCCTCCTGGGCCTTGAGTGCGCCGACCTGGCCAGCTGGCCCCGGATGGTCTGCTTGCTCAACAGACCAGCTGATCCCGCGGCGCTGGGGGTCTTCCGCTTCCTCTTCGGTGAGTTCGGCTCTGTCCAGAACCCGGCCTGGCCCAGAGACTCCAGCGGCAGAAGGGCCGCCCTGACCCTTTGGACCCCGCGGGGCCTGGTCAGGCAGCAGCAGGCCTGTGTGGCTGCGGGGCCAGTGGCCTTTGGGAGGGGCTCGGGCCAGCGGGTTCCAGGGAGGTCAGCCGCCCTTGGCTCCTGTCCTGGCACCCCTGACTTCGTTCGTTACCTCCAGCTTCAGCCCTAAGCACGAGATGACTTTTAGCTGCTCTTTAATCCCACTGTGGTTACAATGTTTATTTGCAATGCATGCTTACAATACAACAGTTGTTACGTATGATTTATTAAAATGTTAGATAAATTCTCTAGAAGAAGGTTCAAGGAGTTGTTTACCAAGTCTTCAAGTGGGATAAACTTGGGAAGTTTAGCCAAGGCTTTGGATCAAAGTGAGCTTGAATATTGTTTGGACCCTGAGGTGTACACATGCACACAACAGAACTGTGCACTTGAAAGGGAATTATCTAAATGACTTTTGTACAATTCTTTTTCCTTTTAAAAACTTTTTGTCCATTTTAACATCAAATGGACGTTAAAATAACATAATTTTAAATGATTTTAAAATATTGATTGCATTTACCAATTATCAGTGGCCACTGAGTTTATATTTAAGTTTGTAAGCGTGTCTGTGTAGAACCAGTTTGGTGAAGGGGCTGGACTAGAACGTAGGAGACTGTGACTTCCGCTTCCACCTTAGGCACACAGCCAGTCATTTCTCTTGGCCTTAGGAAGAAGAAAACTGTAAGAGGCAGTTGCCAGGAGTAAAAAATGACTATTACACTTTCTGGTTTTTAAGAAATACACATTATATGGATTGGCAATTTACTTGTATTGTAGCACACAAATTTATACTTGATTTGGGGAAAACTGCCCAAAATTTCTTTCCAAAAAAGTCATGTCAGAAATCAGAGGAAACATTGTTTGGATCTAAAAAGTTGAAATCCTTAGTGACAAATGAAAGGTTTTGTGCTATTTTCTATGGAAGGGATGTTAACATAATGTTCACTCAGCCTACCAAGAGTTTGGTTTTGATTTCATAATGTGAGGATCCAGCCATTTTTGGAAAGGGCACCATCCCCATGTGCTAGATCCTTGGAATAGCGGATGCAGCTGGATTTGGGAGGTTGTTAATGCCGGGGAGGGGGGGGAGAATGTAACCATCTGGCTTGAAGGAGGCAACGGTGCACACCCTGCAGAAGAGGTCCTCTACATCCAGT